CTACGCTGAACGTCTCTGCTCACTAAATTACTAAAGATTATTTTTTACCCTAATCCATGTGAATGATTGAGTAGCTAATAATTTTATGATAGACTTTTCACTAATGTTTATTTAGGTTTTTATATGTCTAGGGCAAAACATTTTACGTGTAGCTCATTTATCCTAATGAATAATTTTTTATGAATATTAACTGCGCATGATTGATCCGAGAATGTGATTGGCCCAAAAACACGTTTATAAACACCTGTTTTAGTGAAAGCATCCACGGCGAAACCTCATCCTCCATACCCACGCTCATGAAGCAGAGAACTAAATTACTAAGAACTTAGAATTACCAAGAAATTACTAAGAAGCACTATATTATAGGAAAAAGATGTGATTGCGCCAATGACACCACTTTTGCAACGACAGGCTTTTTGAATCATGCGTCTTTTAATCACTTGTAATTTAACGAAGCTAGCGCGCATTGTTGCATGAGTGGGCTATATACTTAGATGATACGATGTAGACTGACTCCCAATGTTAAGGTCCATATGACCGAACCCTCAAGGTTGATACACAACGACGCATGGAGCTAGTCTAGGTACAGTAAATGATTCCTTTCACTAGTTACAGTAAATTAAAGGTCTAACGAAACAATGAAGCACAAGCACGCATGCAACTGTGTAAGTCGCCCATAACAAATACATATTGTAACTCGGTATTTTTTATTTCGCTTTAGTTAATTCGTGTAAATTCAAAGATGGTAAAGAGGAACGACCTCCTATGACCTACAGTTAAGGAGCATTTTTGGCTTCATTTAGCAATAAATGATTGTTGTTTTTTGCCTCCGCCGACCTCCTGTGACATCCAGCGACCTCAAGAGGCCAACGGTACCAATCCCACGACACTCTCGGATCACGTTACCCCATATCAGAGATGCCAACACATATTTAAAGCAATCTGTAGTTTCTGGCCATCAAATTAGTAGTTCGAGGGTCACGTAGTGACCCGAGTTTGCTAAAGAAGTCCGGCATGCCCCCCGGAAATTTTTTTGATTCTGAGATGAAATTTCCTGCATTCTGATGGTCAAAAATTACAATAAATCGAAAAAAAATGTCAACATTTTTTTTTCTTTCCGATCACAGTGAAATTCGTAGTTTGATACAAACTGGTCGTAGTGGTGCAAAGGGAATAGAAATTCGTATAAAATACGGATAAATCGTAGTGGTTGGCATCTCTGCCATATGGATAAATATTCAGCCCCGTGACCAACCGTTTTGTCGGAACAATCACCGGAAATGTTAGTATAGATAGCATCATAAAATAATGTGCCGAGTTGAACCCTCTAACGATATACTTTGGCGAAAAGTGGCTCCTATGTAGAAGCACTGCCAGTTATCAGCATCTGGCAATTAAATAGATGTAATAACAACACCGTTACACGGATGTGATACATAGTGCGAAACCAAGACGAAATTGCCGGAAAAGAAGGTGAGAAAGTAGGGAGGCGAGACAACGAGGGAGAGAAAGAAAGAGGGAGAGAAAGAAAGAGGGAGAAAGAGATTTGGATACAGGTAAGGAAGAGAGGCTAGTAAAAGATAAAAATGGGAATGAGAAAGTAAAAGAAGAGTGACCCACACGAGAGAGCGAAAGAGGGAGGCAGTAAGCAAAATGGAGAGAGAGAGAGAGAGAGAGAGAGAGAGAGAGAGAACGAGAGAGGGGGAAAGGGGCGGGGTAAGAGAATGAGAAAGAGAGCAGTCTAAGAAAAACATACTGAGTAGAAAGTGTGAGTAAAGTACAAGGGTCGGCGAGACAGACAAGAGGAGAGAGAAAGAGTGATGCGTGGATAAAGGGTCCGAGTCAGAAGAGAGTGAGACAGAAGGAATGACAATGGGTAATGAGAGACAACCATATAGTTACTCAGCAAGAGATGCCACGCCCTCTACAAATACTCAGTTTGCTCCCGTCAACGAAATACTTAAAATTTTAATTGCCAAATTAATAAAAGTTTTCTTTACAATTGTTATGCTGTCTTCTACACACCATTAGGCCTGTTTTATTGTACTGTACCAGGGTCCACATTGGCGTTTATAGCTGCACTACATAATATATCAAGCCACTATTCCTAAATTGTTTACTTTGGGGTTTCCATCGATATCATATGACTCATATAACAATTTTAATTAGAAATGCTTTATATATATAGATTTCAACGTCGTAACAAAGCTGTGTAACAAAGAGTGCAATGGGAGGTAATTGTCGCACCCAACATATCTACATAGTATACGCAGCCGATGAAGAAATGGACGACAACGCTGATGTTAATGACACCTTTATATAAGCGTGGCTTCTAATACAAGCCAGCGTGGGCATAGGTACTAACTACCGAAGTCGGCGGCAGCTAATGCACTCGTTAATCAATAACATTTCCATTAAAGTTTCATCAGACCACCCCCTGCAGAAACAGGTGCTGACTGACACAAGAGGGTCGGTAAAATGCAAAAAAAACAATCGCAATTAAATTTATATGACGTAAAGGTTTGAGCACAAAACGGCCCTGCCAAGGTCATGCACATTTGAATTTCGCCAGGCTTTGACAGGTCCAAAGCGGATTCCAGAATGATCCAGGATACTTGTGCGTGCGTGCGTGCGTGCGTGAGGGTCTACGTGTCTGTGTGGCAGGGACCCGTTGTCAAAAACACCACAAATAGTTATATCTACACAATAAGCAGAATGTTGGTGCGTTGCTCACCAAACTCCTCATGAACTACCGGACCGATTCTATCTCTCTCCGTGCTACGGAGACTGTGCAAGTACACGGGGTTAGGGTAAAGAGATTTTTATTAGCGACGTCAAAATTCGGATGAACACAGAAAAGCCGAATCAGCCAATAAAGTAACAGATTTGCGGGAAACCGGCTAACATCAGTTTGTTGCCCTAGTGACAACAGTACCGTGGAGCCTAAAGCCCGGCGCACACGTGAGTAAAATGATGCATGCGTCAAAATACTCACGCGAAATATTTTCAGCGTGCGCCGCACACGTGAGTAAAATTACTCAAGGTATAAGTGGTAATGTAGATCACGTGACTGTGCGCAGCCAATACTGGGCGCAGTCATCTTTAAAATGATTTAAACGCATGCGCTGTGAGTACAAGTGTTGAGTAAATTTACGCAGCTAGCGCGCACACGTTGAGTATTTTGACGCATGAGTCAAAAATTATCAAACATGTTTGATATTGAGTTTCTTGATGCATGCGTCTGAAAACTCAACGAAAATCCGGCGCACACGTGAATATTTTGACGCATGAGTCAAAAATTATCAAACATGTTTGATATTGAGTTTCTTGATGCATGCGTCTGAAAACTCAACGAAAATCCGGCGCACACGTGAGTATTTTGACGCATGCATCATTTTACTTGATTAAAATTACTCACGTGTGCGCCGGGCTTAACGTTCACTAGAAGAGAAACAGACACGTGAGCATCATGCAACGTTCGTCTATATCTGAGAAACTATTCGTCGGTATGCTACATTTTCAGAACATCCTTCGTTTGCACATTAAGTTAATTAATTTTTTATTAGACCACAACATTTGCTCTCCATACTGTATATACCCATATATTTTATTAGTAATAATAACACGATAAATATATAGTTAGACCTTTTAATATACGATAACGACTTTAATCAATCTATACTATTTGCCTATCTACTTATCGTTCTACTATTGCATGAGTGTAATATTTAAATATGGTTTAGTTGCATAAGATAGATTAAGCTAAGTCAAAAAATCTAGTTTGTCTGTGATATTTATATATCGTTTAGTAGTGCACCGTTCGATAGATGACGCTTTATTATAATATAGTGTGCCTTCAATATATTGTTTATTATTTTGTTTATTATTTATGGGTTTTAGTCCGGCAGCATACGATAGGTAAAGGTTCATTATAATACTTTATTCCTCCAATAGAGTTAGTCTCACAGCATACGATACACAAAACTATGATATATATAATATTTTCTGCGAAAACAGCCAAAAAACTAATATCGTTTACCAAAACGCGTTAAATTACTTCCAATTTATTGATTGTAAAATTACAGTATTAGTTGACGCAGTATTTCTGTTTTGCTTTGTTTTGACACATGTCAATATCATAGTTTGGTCACGAAATGAACCCAGGCAACGCTGGGCACCCAGCTAGTAATATCATAAGTATAAAATGGCATAACTATATATAAATGTTCCGCGTTTAAAGTCAAAAGTCATGACATTTCAGACTTATAACAGTCACAAGCGTTTACGATGTGTCTGACAACAAGCCTTTCGTTTGCGAGTTATTCAGTTTACCTCACTGTCAATTGACGTCATACGCACCACCCACATGGTTACGAACGCCCACCAGTAGCCTCGTGGCACTGTTCGTTTGTGTAATTTCTCGTACACAGTTTCGTATGTGCCTTACCGTGCCTACCCGATAAGGTGTGCTTTTCCATGAGGCCCTTAATGCATTTGTTAGGCATTATCTGCAGCTAGAAACTCTATGAGGCATTTGATCTGCTCTATACTTCCGATTACACACAGAGGAATATGACGAACGAGCCTATTTACGTAATGTTTATGTGGTGCTTTTGTAGTCTCTGTCCCCGAAGACGTACATATTCATAGACTCGAGTATAATAGTGAAACAGACCTGATGTCATTTTAGCACCATTACATGCGACTGATATATCATAAAGGTTCTCACTGTCAAAGCTACTGTGAAAAATATGTAGTATGCTGGTTTATTGTGAGAAACCCCCCTTGTGTCGTCACGTAGTAATAGATGTGAGAGCGATATTGAGTGGTTGTCTTTTATCTGGTCGCAATTTAAGACGGTATTCCTCATCTGAAATCTGCCGAATACGAAATCTAGCATTGGACAATAGATATATCTACTAGGGAGTTGGGAAATGACATCGGGTCAGGTGAACAAAACGACACCCTACACAGCACACATAGTGTTATTGTGAACATACCTGTTCCTGATATCCATTTCTCATGTATCTTGACATCTGCTGCAAAAAAAGATCAAACAACATTTTATTATCTGCAAGTACATGATCATGCAGAGGAAACGCACTGTACAGAACTAACACCTACTAGTATCTCAGAGAAAAATTGGTTTCCATGAATAAAATAATACGATTTATGTAACGCTGGCTAGGTAGCATAAATGCAAGTTGTCTAAAACATGGGCTTTTAGTACAAATTTATTACATAAAGTCGATCCTTCTACGTAATTTCTGTTACATTTGACAAAGGCAGCTTTATCAGCGGCAACGACCGTCAATTAAATTGAATGCGTGTATAGTTTATTTCAGAAATGCTCAGCACTTCAGCTGCATAACAAGTAGTCCCTGCACTGCACAGTTCTTTCATTGGGTAAAGTTCTGCGAAGTGCTGTTCATGTTCTACTCGCTCGTGAGAATATGAAATCATATGTGAATGTGATGCAAGATAGAATTCTACGTTTACTCGCGGCTTCTCCACTAACTAACGCAGATGGGGTCGTTGTCGTATCAGGTACTACAGATATGTACCCGAGGTAGTTTTAGGTTGTTTAGTATTATGTCTATATTTTTATATGAGGTATGTTTATGGTTAGGGTTAGGGTTAGGGTTAGGGTTAGTGTTAGGGTCATATCTGTAGTACCTGATACGACAACGACCCCTTGAGCCTAACTAACGCCAACGATTTGCAGCCATCTTTCTACATATGCAAGTTCGTATACATAGGAGCACATACAACAGTAAAATAAATACCCCCCCCCCCGCCGCCGCGCGCGTATGCGTACATGCACGGTCGATCTTCAAAACTCGACGTCAGTTCTTGTTCGCGGGTCATATCGGCAACGTTTGGTTTAATAATGAGTCAAGCAGCACATTAGAGTAATTACAGCGGCTTATGTTTCCTTGCGAATCCTGCGCGGCTCTATCGCAGTCAGCTCTCACTGCCTGCTCCGCGCAGCGCTCCTACAGTCTCTCATTGCGATATGTCCGGGTTCAGACAGACGAGAGCGTCTACAATTAGCAGAGCCTTAATCTCCTTCGACTTGGAGTGCACGTAATACGATGGAAATGGAAAACGCGCCCGACTCGGCTCTTGCTCGTCGTACCAGCGCGGCCGTATTAACTCCTTCCATCGGCTTGTATTTCTCGCGGGGCGCAACAGCTCTCGCTAGCACGGTTTTGGGCGGCAGCGTTCAAGGTTAGACGTCAGGGTCTGCCTGTCTGTCTCTGTTGGCTGGGAGCTGCTGCTGGCGCTGCTACCGTTAATTACAGCAGCAAGCTCAGCTCGTATGTGTTGGTAGATGCGTGCACGCGCGGGCAGGCGTGCGTGCGTGCACGGGAATGCATGCACGTGCGCGCGTGTGTGTGCGTGCGTGTGTGTTTGTGTGTGTATGTGGGTGGGTGCGCGTGTGTGCGTGCGTGTTCGTGTGTGTGTGTGTGTGTGCGCGCAACTGCATGTGCGTGTGTGTGTGCAACTGCGTCTGTCCAAGGGGTGCGTTGCTTGCGTAAATGCGAGTGGGCACGCGTGTTTATGCGTGCGTTTGTGCGTAAGTGCGTAGCTTCCTGCGTGCGTGCGTGCGTGCGTGCGTGCGTGCGTGCATGCATACGCACACGCGTACTTGCGTGTGTGGGAGTGTAGTGTGGTAGTATGTCTACATGTATGCGCGCTCTCTAAAGGTATAACCACAGCAGAGAGCATATGATAGAAATTGATGTTTGAGGTAATTCCTCTCACATTGAGGAGAGAGGGGGTTGCGCATGGAGAGAACAAAAGTGTATGGGAGAGGGGGTGTGCAAAAAATGTAAGAAATGATAGAGCTAGGAGAAGAGGCCACGTTCGTGCGTGCGAGCGTGTGTGCGTACACACGGGTGTAATGGTGCAAAGCAAGCAAGATATGAAGACGGAGAGAGAGAGAGAAAGAGAGAGAGAGAGAGAGAGAGAGAGAGAGAGAGAGAGAGAGAGAGAGAGAGAGAGAGAGAGAGAGAGAGAGAGAGAAAGAGAGAGAGAGAGAGAGAGACTATGTACGCGCATACGTACGTCATACATTACAATCTCCTTACTAGAGAGAGTTTGTCTGAGTTCCATTTCTCATCAATGATGAAATCATTATAATTTAATCAAAATTATGTATATATATATTCGACACTCGGAAAATGAATTTACGAGAATTCAAAATAGTTTATACAATGTTTATTGTACCTACCTATATTGATGAAATAAGAACACACAGACAGACGATCAAAATTGCAGAACCGATATATGATTAATAAGGATCACGATATACACTTTTCTTAAGAGTCTTGCATGTCTTCTTCACTCTCCCCCCTCCCGATACCCCACACATGCACGTACGCACGCACGCACGGACGCGTCTTTCTCTTCCCCCTCTCCCTCTATCTCTCTCTCTTCATTGAAGCACACCATAACACACACGCCGGCGACGCACACGACACACACACACACACACACCAACACATCACACACACAACAACACAACACACACACACACACAACCACGCGTACACACATACTCTCTATTCTCATCGCGTTATCCTTTGATTCAGTCGCTTTGTTTTCAATACCCTGCAGACTTCGGTATCTCTCCCTTCTTCGCTTCCGCTTACACTCAATTGCCGCTTGGCACTGCGTAGATCTCTGTACATGTGACTAAACGACTTGACATACACTAGTGACGCATCTGTTGCCAAAGCTTGCACTATCGTGAACAAATCCTTCTGCTCAGACGGATGTCGCACCCCGGAAAGCAGTCTTATTGGCCATTCTGCTCTCAAACATGACTTTTTTTCGATCCAACGGAGTTTGTATTACCGAAATTTTCAAGCGTTCGCTGCTGGTACGGAAGTCCTGGTGAGAGAAAACGCAGTAAATATGTCTGTCAACATCAGTCAATCTTGTTTTGGCAGAAGGCTAGCTCGTTCCTTTACAGGTATCGAATCATAATAAAGCTTAAAGACTCAACACGATTCTGCAAACTCCTAAACCCATTTGCAGCGCCCTACAAGATTTTGTCAATATGACTATCCCTGTTTGCTGTAGCATTATACGCTCGAAAATGGCCTTTCTGTTCCCGCTCTGCTTGTAAAAGCCTGTAAAAGGTTGCAAGAGCCGCAACAGACTAAGACGGTCGCAAGTATGACACAGACTAACATAATCAAAATTGCGCGGAACATAAAAGTTGCTATAGGGAACTCGCGGTCGTTACTTCTAGTCGTTTCCTATAACACGAGGGCCCACTGCCTGTGTCCACTGCAATCGTCGAGCGGCGCAAGGAACCAAACTTGAAATTTTCAGCTCTTTCCACATCACTTAATTGGGTAGCATATAATACAGAGCGAGCGCGCCCTATATCTGCTTCACTAATCAATAACGGACGTACTCACTCGCGATATCACTTATCGGTCGTTTACTCTCACACGCGGCCATATCGCCCATGGAAAAAGGCCCGGCGCTTTGACATCGTGAAGTAAAGCGACGCTTTACATTTGCGCCCACTTACATCTGGACTAATCTTTTTCTCTAATATGAAAAATCAGCAATGTGATTCGCTAAAACGAACTCTACAAACGGGAAGAGTCATTTTTTACGCAGAGCGCCAGTAAATGATGACCTGATTACTCGCTGGCGTGCACTAAATCTTCCGCCTCATTTCGCTAATATTTCCTCTCCCATCCTTTATTACTATTGCGTTGACTCGATACATTTAACCGCATAATCATATGGCTGTTTCGGCACTAATACACAACCTGCCTCGGAATCTACATGTGGATAGTGAGTGGATGCGGCCACCGCCGGAGACGGGCAATTCCTCCACCCTTTCACACCTATCATATCATATTATCAGCTTTCCGTTCCTTCTCCAGCCTTCTCCGCACTTCTCCCCCGTCTCTCTCTCTCTCTCGTCATCCTCTCTCTCTCCCTCTCCTTATCCCTCAGTCTCTCTCCGCTCTTCTCGATCACACCCTTCTCGGTCTTCTATCAGTCCGCATTCTATATAATTTTTATTGTCTGCTCCTCCGCCTCCTCGCCCTGCCATCTCATCTTCTCCTTTCCCTCTTCTTCTATAACATTACAGGCCTCAACTGCGGGCGCAATATGCAGAGTCATTGCAACACGAAAATTATGATCTCGTGCTGTTAAAATATGCACTACACGCGCCGAGAAATCGCGAAGCACAACTTTATAAAACATTATTGCATGTGTCAAGAGCGTATTAAGAAGCTTGATGGATGTGAAAGCGCGGCTTATTATTAACGTGCGACTTCGCATGCTCACTCCCGCTGATAGGGTCTATTGTCCCCCGAGTATCTGCGCGAACGTACGCCTGGGTACGACGGTCCGGTATACCTGGAACGGTATACCGGACCGTAACCCCTGAGTAACTATCGGTATTGGTAAGGATTAGGGAGTAGGCGTAGCGACTCCATAGACTCGTAGTGGAGTAGGCGAGTACGGTTCCGGCAATATTAGATACTACCAAGGGTACCGTTTCGGTATGACCGGACCGTACCCAGGGTACTTCGCGGCAGTTACCCTGGGGACATAGGACACCCAGACCCCCTCTCAGCCTCACTGGAAAGGAATAGAATATCACTAATTTCTCATCTGAATGAAATAAATTACCTCTAATGCGGTATTAGCACGCTGGAAAACCCTACGAATTACCTATAGTATCAGTTGCATTTACTGAAAACTGCTCATTTGTTTTGCCTAGCAATAATTCACAGCTCAAACTCGACAGCGAAACCGGATTCAACTAGTTTCCGAATTACGTTTCCTCTCAGATCGGAATGCGAAATGGAAATCACCCAATCTCCGAGACAGGCAAAAATTAAAATTAAAAAGTAAAATTAAAAAGTAAAATTCAAATTTAAAATTGATTAATTAATAAAAAAATAATTAATTAAATAATTAAACATAAGGACCATAGATCGGTAGCCCATCCCCTGTGGGTTTTCGGACTAGTGGGCTTTCGGACTAGTGGGTT